GCTTAACTATTGTGCCACCAAGGCTCCTTAAACCACAAGTAAGTGTGCAAACTGTTAGCGCATTTGGCTGCTAACTGAAAGGCTGGAGGTTCAAGTCCATCTAGAGGTTCCTTGGAAGAAAGGCCTGGCAATCTACTTCCAAAAAATAAGCCACTAAAACCCCTGTGGAACACAAGGGTACAATCCTCACCCATCACAGGGATGACGCAGGACCAGGTAGAGTTTTGTTCCGTTGCGCACGGGGTCGCCATGAGCCGGGGGCCGACCGGATGGCAGCCAGCAAGATTGCAAATGGACCTTTCTCCTCCTGGCTCAGCCTGTGTGGTGCCTGGGTCAGGGGAGCACTGAGGACACAGACTGTCACAGCAGCCCCACTGCATCTCTCCCATTCAGCCCCTCCTCCTCACCCCCTCCTCCCCCTTCCAGGAGGCAGGACAGCCTGGCCCCAGTGGGCACGACGGGGACAACTGAGATCCTGCGATTTCCACAGCACCGCGTCCTAGGGCTGGTGAGTGTTACACAGCCAGCCACGTGGTGGGACAGTTGCTGGACTCGGCATCAGGGTCTCTGAGGCAGAGCCTGACGGCGGGTCAGGGGCCGGGCAGTCAGGGTATCTGTTCCAAGAGCGGACAAGGGGACCAGGGCTCACCGTCTCCCTCCGCGCAGCCTCCAGCTCCAGCCGCAGCTCGCTCATCTGGGCGCTGTGCTGCTGCTGCTGCTCGGCCAGGTGGCCGTGCAGAGACTCGATCTCCAGGGACAGGTAGCTAATCTCCTCACTCTCGGGCACTGCCTTGTCCTGAGCCGCTGTGAGTGCTTGAACAGATGACAAAATGTGTCTCGCCTGAGCTGGGAAAAAAACCAAACATGACAGTAGCCCTAGTACTTAGAGGAAATAGGAGCAAGCTGCTTTCAGTATATTTTAAACAGTGCAGGCTATGGGCCTCAAAAACAGTCCCGAGCTCTGGGCTGGCACAGGGAAGCTGAGACGCCTTATGCCGGAATCACCACCCTGGGCTTGTCTGCGTCCACTCATGGGGAGGGTGGTTCCGAGAAGGCTGCCACAGAAGCTCTGTCTAGAAGGCGTTGTTCGCCTCGACGCTTGCTCAGGCCCTTCCACAAGTGCTGCTGGTGCTCCGGCCCGCCCAGGGACCTGGACCTGAAGGGCCACCCCAGACAGGGCCGAGGGCGGCCAGACACAGGACTGGGCCACACAGCCCACCCTCCTGCTGCTGCGCACAGGCAGAAGACACTGAGGGCCCCAAAGACCCTGGGACTGCAGGAGTGTTGGCGTGCAGTCAGGATCAGGGCTCCCACCTCTGGGAGCAGCAGGGCCGCAGACTAGGCAGGGCTGAGTCCCCCGGCTATGGGGGGGAAGGCAATGTCAGCCATGGCATCTCCTCATCCTCACTGCGACCAAGGCCAAGGTGGCTACGCGGCCACAGCCTGATGGCCCAGTGCTCCTTCACTCCCACGTCCTCTCCAGAGGAGCCATTCCTGGCCTGATGCCATGCCAAGTCCCGCAAACCCTGGTCCTGCACACAGTCAGCAGCACGTTTTGAGGACCCAGAGAAGGTGGTGGACGCAGAGCTTCCCAATCTCTCCAGACCCCACATAAGAGCGGGGACCTGGACTGCCCACCCAGGGAACGACGTCTCTGCAATCTGATGTGGCAGGTGTCCTCCAGACCAGAGCACAGCAGGCGCAGACCTCACTGCACGGTACCTGCAGGCTCAGCTCCAGGGAAGAGACAAGCAGAACCCTCCGAGAGCCGAGGAAGCGGCCGTGTGGCAGCGGGAGGTTCTGACTCGCATGCAGCATGCCCCGTCGGCTCATGTCTCACACGACGGCAGCCCAGTGACCCTTGACCCCACACTCTCCCCCTGCCACCCCTGTGCATGGCCGCCCACCTCACCCAGGAATGCTTCGTTGCCATGCAGGGACCTGCGGCCTCCCCAGTGCCTGTCCACCAGGTCCAGGAGGGCTTCCAGGAGCTCTGCCTCCAGGGCTGCTGTCCTCCCAGGGGGGGCTGCCACGTGCTGCAGGGAGAGAACTCAACACCTCAGGTCACAGATGACTGAGTGCTAGACCCAACAGGGCCCAACACAAGGGCCTGCCTGCCCACGACGCACCCAACACCCTCATGCTGGCTCCATCTGTCCCCGTGCCCTCATGTGCGCACTCACTGCCATGTCCTGGGATAGTGATGAGGGCACCCCATGTCCCAGGGACAACAGGTGGAGTCGGGAGGCTTTACAAAGGAGCTATGTGGACACAGTGCTGATGCCCATAATCCCAGTTTCCATCTGAGCCAGGGGAGCCCTGGGCTTATCTGGACACCCAAGCCTGTCCACAGAGGGACGCATGGTGGGGCTGGTGACAGTCCATTTTTCATCGTGGGAGATCACGAGAATTTTATATTGATTTCTGAAACAACTCAGTTCACTGACTCATTTTCTGTGTTGTAGAATACGTGGAATATTCTTTTCGTAGAAAATGTTGTATATAGTAAAAATCTTAGTACCCTGCATCTACTAAAACTTTTATAATCCGGTTCATCTCATTCCACTAAAATGGCAGACACCACTTTTGCATTCGATTACTAATATTATAATCATGTTTAAAAAGACGTTACATCATGGATAGCTAAGACACACACACACACACACACACACACACACACGTATATCTATAACCCACATAACCCATTCGAATGTGTATGCTGAGGAGGGGCTGCCACATGCCTTAATCCAGTCCTGGGTTGCACACAGGTGTGAAGTCATGCACAGGTGCAGAGTCACACACAGGTGAGGGGAGCACAGGTGTGGGGTCACACACAGATGCGAGGTCGCACGCAGGTGTGTATCACACACAGATGTGGAGTGTGGTGCAGTGAATTACTTAATACAGCCCTTCTAGCCACAGTCTTTGTAACTTCCACCAAATGACTGAGTGGGACTATGCAAATGATGTGCTTGTGGCCTACCAAGGGGACTGGATAGCTTGCTAATAATGTAAATAAGATGCATGGCACCCTTATGGGTGCCATGTAAATAATGTAAATAAGGTGTATGGAACCCTAACGAGGGGATTGGTCAGTTTTGCCATCTTGTTAGGCTTAAAATGAGCCATCCCAGAGGTGGGAAGAGAGAGAGGATCTCACCACCAAGAAAGAACAGCCAGGAGTGGAGCACGTCCTTTGGACCTGGGACCCCTGTGCTGAGAACCTCCTAGATCCAGAAGACAGAAAAAGAAAGCTGTAACACCAGAGACAGTGAGAAGCAGTGGCAGATAAACAGCGACAGCGGAAGCAGGAGATTGGCGGGAGACAGCATGGTGGGCTTCCTGGCCCACGGAGCAAGAAAGCTGAGTGCCTTCAGGCAGGAGGCTTGCTGGTGGAATAGCGTACCTCCTGGCACTTGGTGGAGCTAGGTTTGCCAACTCATGGAGCTAGAGCTCAGCGCCTTCGGTCTGAGGCATACTAGCAAAGTAGGTTGAGTCTAGGCACTTACGGGCAGAGCTAAGAGAGCTCTGTAACACTTGCCCACGCAGGGCAAAGACTAGGCTGAGCAGCGGAAGGCCACAGACAGACCTGCCTGTGGGCATAGCTGAGAAGAGGCTGTCCTGATCCTGAACATTCCTGAACCTGAACAGTAACCTGTTGCTTCCCTAATAAACCCCATAACTGTGACTATGGTCTGTGTGGCCGTTGCAAGGAGTTATTGATCCCAGCAGAGAAGTAGAGAATGCCATGGGAGGGATAGCTGGTGTCACAATTGGTAAAAAGGTTGGAAGGTGGAGGTATGTCTGACCTCC